GTCTTTTCAGATTCTGTGTAAAAAGGATGCAATACAATGTTTCCATTTCTCTGCCTGACTGACTTCACTCAATGTAACAGTCTCTAGGTCCATCCATGTTGCTGCAAATGGCATTATTTCATTCTTTTTAAAGGCTGAGTAATATTCCATTGTATATATGTACCATGTCTGTCAATGGACATTAGGCTGCTTCCAGGTCTTGCTTCATAAACAGCGCTGCATTGATCATTGGGGTGCATGCATCCTTTTGGACCATGTTTTTCTCCAGATACATACCCAGGAGTGGGATTGCAGAGTCATGTGCTTGCTAAGTCGCTTCAGTCATGCTTGACTCTTTGGAACCATGTGGACTGTAGCCCACCAGGCTCCTCTGTCCATGGGATTCTCCAGGCAAGAATACTGGAATGGGTTGCCATGCCCTCCTCCAGGGGATCTTTCCAACCCAGGGACTGAACCTGCGTCTCTTTAAGTCTCATGCATTGGCAGCCAGGTTCTTTTACCACTAGCCCCACCTGGGAAGCTCTTGCAGGGTCATATGGTAGCTCTAGTTTTAGTTTTTTAAGAAGCCTCCATACTGTGCTCCATAGTGGCTGTACCAATTTATATTTCCACCAACAGTGTAAGAGGGTTTCTTTCTTTCTAGTCTCTTTCTGCTGATTTTTAATCAGTTTCAATTTCATTACTTGTAATTGGTCTGTTCATATTTTCTGTTTCTTCCTGGCTCAGCCTAGTTCAGTCTTGGGATTTTATACCTTTCTAAGAATTTGTCCATTTCTTCTAGGTTGTCCATTTTACTGGCATATAATTAGTTGTTTGTAGTAGTCTCCCTAAATGACTTTTTCTTTTAATTTCTGTAGTATCCATTGTAACATCTCCTTTTTCATTTCTAATTTTATTGATTTGAGCCCTCTCTCTTTTTCTTGACGAGTCTGGCTAAAGGTTTGTCAATTTTGTTTATCTTTTTAAAACACCAGCTTTTAGTTTCATTGATCCTTTCTTTTGTTTTCTTCTTCTCTGTTTCATTTATTTCTACTCTGATATTTAAGGCTTCTTTCCTTCTGCTAACTTTGGGTTTTGTTTGTTCTTCTTTCTCTAGTAGCTATAGGTGTAAAATTAGGATGTTTATTTGAAATTTTTCTTGTTTCCTGAGGTAAGATTGTATTGTTACAAATCTCCTTCTCAGAATTGCTTTTGCTGCATCCCATAGGTTTTGTATCATGGTGTTTTTGTTGTCACCTGTCTTTAGGTTTTTTTTTTCCTTTGATTTCTGCTATGATTGATTGGTTGTTTAGTAACATTGTTTAGCCTCCATATGAATGTGTCTTTTTTTTATTTACAGTTTTTTTCCCCCTGTAATTGATTTCTAATCTCCTAGTGTTGTGGTCAGAAAAGATGCTTGATATGATTTTAATTTTCTTAAATTTCCTGAGGCTTAATTTGTAGCCCAAGATATGATTTATCCTGGATAGCGTTCCATCTGTACTTGAGGGGAAAGTGTATTCCGTAGCTTTTGCATAGAGTGTTCCATAATTATCAGTTAAGTTCATCTGGTCTAATGTATCATTTAAGGCCTTTGTTTTCTAATTGATTTTTCTGTTTTGATGATCTGTCCATTGATGAAAGTGAGGTGTTAAAGTCCCCGATTATTACTGTGTTACTGGCAATTTCTCCTTTAATGGCTGTTAGCATTTACCTTATACATTGAGGTAGTCTTATGGGGGGTGCATATAGATTTATAAATGTTACCTCTTCTTGGATCGATCCTTTGATCTTTATGGATCCTTGTCCTTCCTTGTCTTCTGCAACAATATTTATTTTAAAGTCTCTTTTGTCTGATACCAGTATTGCTACTCTCTTTCTTTTGATTTTTCTTTACATGGAATATATTTTTCCATTCTCTCACTTTCAGTTTGTATGTCCCTAGTTCTGAAGTGGATCTCTTGTAGACAGCATATATTTGGGTCTTGTTTTTATATCCATTCTACTAGTCTGTGTTTTTTGTTTGAAGCATTTAATCCAATTCTGTTTAAGGCAATTATTGATAATGTATGTTCTTATCACCATTTTGTTAAGTGGTTTAGCTTTTATTTTTGGAAGTGAAAGTGTTAGTCACTCAGTTGTGTCTGATTCTTTGTGGCCCTATGGACTGTGGCCTGCCAGGCTCTTCTGTCCATGGAATTCCCCAGGCAAGAATACTGGAGTGTGTTGCCATTCCCTTCTCCAGGGATCTTCCCAACCCAGGGATTGAACCCAGGTCTCCTGAATTGCAGACAGATTCTATACCATCTGGGCCACCAGGGGTCTTTTTTATTCCCTTCATTTTTTGTTCTCTTTCCTTGTGATTTGATATCTATCTTTAGTGTTGTGTTTGCTTTTTCTTTTTTGTGTGTGTATCTATTATAGATTTTTGTTTGTGATTCCCAAGAGGTTTTAGTATAGCAGTCTGTATATGTACAAGATTGTTTTAAATTGCTGGTCTGTTCATTTCCAATACATTTTCAATATCCTGCATTTGTACTCTTCTCACAATCCCTGGTTTTGATATCAGATTTATGTGTGGGTAATTTCCTACCTTTGTTTTATGTTTGCTTTACCAGTGATCTCTCTAATTGGTATTGTTCTTGTTTCTAGTTGTCGCATTTTACTTTTTGCCTAGAAAAGTACCTTTAGTATTTATTGTAATGCTGGTTTTGATGGTGATGAAGTCTCTAACTTTTGCTTGTCTGTAAAATCTCTTGATTTCTCTGTCAGATCTGAACAATAGCCTTGAAGGGTTTTGGTTTTAGTTTTTCCCCATTTGCACTTTGAATATATTGTAGTACTCTCTTCAGCCTGCAGAGTTTCTGCTGAAAAATCAGCTTATAACTTTATGGGGATTCTCTCGTATGTTATTTGTTGCTTTTCCCTTATTATTTTTAATATTTTTCTTTGTCTTTAATTCTTGTCAGTTTGATTAATATGTGTCTCAGCAGGTTCCTCCTTGAGTTTATCTTATAGGGGACTCTTTGAGCTTCCTGGATTTAAGTGAGTGTTTCTTTTCTGAGGTTAGGGAAGGTTTTGTCTGTAATAGCTTTAGATATTTTCTCAGGCCCTTTCTCTCTCTCTCCTCCTTCTGGGACCCCTGAGAGCCCAGGATGGTAGTGATGGCTTGTGCCTGTCCCTGGAGCTTCTGTAGGTGGTGGTGGTGGTGTGTGTGTGGTGGGGGGAGAAAATATGCACACCATTCTTTATTCATTCATTCATTCATTTGTTGATGGACACTTAGGTAGTTTTCATATCTTTTCTTTCGTGAATAATGCTGTGATGAACATGGTAGTGTAGATACTTCTTTGATATCCTATTTTATTTCCTTCTAATACCTACAAGGGGGTTGCAGAATCATATTGTAGTTCTATTTTTTAGCTTTTCAGGAACCTCTGTACTGTTTTACACAGTGGTTACACCAATGTACACTTCTGCCAACAGTGCACAAGGGTTCCCCTCTCTCCACATCTTCACCAACATTGTTGTCTTCAGTTTTAATGACAGTTATTCTGACAAGTGTGAGGTGATAGGTCATTGTAGGTTTGATTTGCATTTACTTGATAATTAGTCATGATTTACCTGATGATTACCTGAAGATTTTGTGTATTTGGCCATTTGTATACCTTGTTTGGCAAAAAGTTTATTTAGCTTCTTGATTCATTTTTCAAATTAGATTGGTTTCTTTGCTATTAAATTGTTAGATAATTTACATAATTTGGATATTAACCCCTTGCCAGATGTGTAATTTGCAAATATTTTCTTTCATTCGGTAGGTTGTCTTTTCATTTTGTTGATGGTTTCTTTTGCCATGAAGAAGATTTTTAGTTTGATTTAATCCTACTCATATATATTTGCTTTTGTTGCCTTTGCTTTTGTTATCAAGTTCAAAAAATTATTGCTAAGGTCAATATCAAGGAGATTACCTCTTATGTTTTTCTCTGGAAGTTTTATGGTTTTTGTTTTAAATTTAATTCTTTAATCCAGTTTGAGTTTATTTTTGTATAATGTATGAGATGGGGTCTATTTTCATTCTTTTGTATGTGGCTATCCAATATTCCTACTGCCATTTATGAAGAGATCATCCCTTCCCCATTGTATGTTTTTGAGTCATTTGTCATAAATTAATTGACCTTCATTATGCATGAGTTAATTTGGGGGCTGTCTATTCTATTCCCTTGATCTCTGTGTCTGTTTTTATGCCAAGACTATGCTCTTTTCGTTATTACACCTTTGTAAGATAGTTTGAAATAAAGAAGTGTGATACATCTAGTATGTGCAAAATACTGTGCTAGACACTTCCTAGCAGATTCAGATGAATACTGACTGTCTTATTTGGGGAGGGTTAGAGCTGGTAGCTCTTACATATGATTTTTCAAGAACACAAATATATATAACCACCTAAAAATGGTGAAGGAACATGAACTTTGTCAGTATACTGTGAAGGTTTGAAAGAAATAGAGATTCCATCAAATGTGGGAAAACAGGAAACCTTTATAGAAAAGGTGAAAAAGGGCTGCATGTGAATTTTCTGATGAAACAGTATTGAAACTGGTTATGAGTTTTACTTTACCATAGCAATTATTTATTCTTTCATAATACAGTGATTGAATTAACCAGAGAAGAGGAAGAGAGAAACAAAACATAGTAATTCTATTCTATCCAAAAGATGTTTCAAGTTCATACCTATAGGTTTAGGTATGAAAGAGGAATTCAGTAATGCTTTCCACGGATACTTGACTAACATCTCTGTGCTGGGCGCTGAGGATACAGAGAAGACTAAGACACAGGTGCTGTCCCAGGAGCACGTAGTCCAGGAGAGCAGACGGACATGAAAAGAGGTTACTTTCTGTTCTGTGCGATAAGTGGTGTCACGTGGTGAATATGAGGGAAAAATCGGGGGTTCCAGTGGAAGGGAGCATGAATAAATGATTACATTGCTATGATGGCAAAGTTATTTTCCTTTTTCTTTTCTCTAGTTGGAGAGCATCAGTTGACAGGCCATAAAGTGGCAGTTAAAATTTTAAATAGACAGAAGATTCGCAGTTTAGATGTTGTTGGAAAAATAAAGCGAGAAATTCAAAATCTAAAACTCTTTCGTCATCCTCATATTATCAAACTGTAAGTATTTCTGCACCTGACTACATAAGAGAAACTGTTTCAAAATATCATATTTGAATTTATAAATAATTACTTATTTTTAGTTAAACATTTATAAATATACAATTTTTCATATTTATATTTAACAAATGTAATTCATTTAACCTCATTATCCTATTTTGCATGCTTCTGGGTCTAGAATTAAAACTCTAATTGTAAATTGACTCTTATCTTTAGTATTCATGTTGAAGGTAATTTGGGACTTTACTATTTCTAGATTTATTTTATAATTGTTTTCTAGTCACTTTTAATGAACAGGGTATTTTCGTTTTGGAAAAGGTAGAAAGTAACTGTTAAAGATTATCTGCCATAATATTATTTGCAAAACTGCCATCATTACTTTAATTACTGATAAAGTCCTTAGGAAGGCAAATTAATTTTTTTTATAAAGCAAGTTACAAACTTAGAAGATAAATAAATTAAGAGTTTAATAAATAAGTAATTAATTTGAAAGATTATTTAACATCATCTAGACCCATAGAAAATTTAGACATTAAGTATGCAACATTATTCTTTTACATCATTTGAAGTTGTGTTTAAAGTGGCCTAAGTAGCTCAGTTGGGACAGCGTTAGACTGAAGTTGTGTTTAATATTAATTGTGAAGGTGTAATATGCTAAAACACTGAAAACTGTCTTTATTTTTTATCTTAAAGCTTGGACAGGGTTTAATAAAGTAAATATTAATCTTATTGAGTACCTGATAATGGCTAGAAACTGTATTGAGCATTTTACATAATAATTTCACTTCATCCTCTCGATCAATGTATAAGGGATATTATTATCTTCATTATACAGATAAGAAAATCACATGTTTAAAGAGTATCTGCAACTTGACCAAGGTCAAATAGCTAGTTAGTTGCAGAGCTAGTCGTTAACTTCATATCTGATTTCAAATGCCATGCTATTAATTTCTATTCCAGGACTGAAAAAACTGAGAAGAAAAGCCATATTAATGTCTTTGAGACTTTGCTAGTCAGAGGTTATATTTAGTCTCAACTTTTTTAGTTAGCTGTCTTTAGGTATCAACGTTGATGAGGAATAATCTGATAGCCCTGTAGAGGTACTTTGTTTACCTGTAACAAGGTTGCATAACAGCTGTGGTAGACAGTAGTGCCCCCCAAACACTCCCCCTCCAAAAGAAAAGATGTCCTAATCTCCAGTGAGTATGTTATATTACATGGCAAAGGAGAATTAAGGTTATGAATGTATTTAAGGTTGCTAATCAGCCGACAAAATAGAAAGATTTTCCTTGGTTATCTGGGTGGTTCCAGGGTAATTCAGTGGTCCTTAAAAGTGGACAAGGGAATCATATGCCAGAGAAAAAGATTTGAGATGGAAGCAAGGTCAGAGAGAAGGAATATGAAAAGGATTCAACTGGCTGTACCTGGCTTTGAAGGTGGAGGAAGGGGGCCATGAGCCAAGGAATGCAGGTGATCTCTAAATACAAAGAAATAGATTTCCCCTAGAGCCCCCAGAAGGCAATGAAGCCCTGCTGTGCCTTGATTTTAGCCCAGAGAGACATGTATCAGACTTTCCCCTTTAAAACTGTGACATAATACAGAATATATTTGTGTTGTTTTAAGCACACTAAGTTCTTATTATGGCAGCAACAGAAAACCAATAGAGTAGCATTCTTGAAATCTTTATAAGTGAATGGCTGATCCAGTTATTGCTAGGATTTGGGACACGCATTTAGTCTTTTCTATAACTAGATGTATTTATTGCTAGGGAACCAGTGCAAATTGGTATCTTAAATGAGGGGGGCCCCCTCAGTATATCTTACTAAACAGCATGAATATGCCACTAACTGTTCAGAGGAGGCTTTTGCAGGGGTTTGGTGTGCCATTGGATGACCTGTGATGATTCAGTTCTCTCATCACTATGATGAAGACTTCATTCTAACAATAAGCTTCAGTGTTGTTTGATCTTCATTTGAAGTTCACTTGATCATAAGCATAAATAAGAAATGAGCTCCCTGAAATTGCATGGCTATACTTGATTTTAAGGTTATATTATCTAGGACCTGTGGTCTAGATGATCCAAAATTTGTATATACAGGTTTTTAAAGATATCACAGGAATTAAAATATCACCTATGACTCACTCTTCTATTCTTTGTTTCCTTAACTTTAAAATGGGGATACCTTATGGTGCTGTTTGAGAATTATTGTGTTCTTATTGTTATAATGCCTGCTGGTTGAAGTGCATTGACCCAGAAGCAGGGTCAGTGATTTCACTCCTCTCATGATTCCAAATGATTTTCAGTTAACTGAACCAGTTCATGTCTGACTTCAACTCCATGTTAATAATTATTTTATTCAAGTTAATGAATGACTGAATGGATGAATTTAGCTTCTGAGATAAATTCCTTTGCTCTTCCTTACTGACTGGTCACTTCCTATAAGAGGGGAAAGCTGCTAAGTCAGGCTGAAACTGTCACATGCCAAGGTGAGAGTGGAGAAGGGAGAGATCTCTGTGTTCTTGCTGTTTCTTGACCTCATCACTTACATAATGCAAACCTTGAAAGGTGCCAAGGAAACTTTGTTCATTTAGAGCATGAGTTCTAGTTGCTATTCTGTTCCTATAAATAAATAATTTTGTCAGTAAGCAGTTGCAATTGTCAAAAGGACTTAAAAGCTTATTTTCTGATGTTATAGCTACTAGTGTTTTCTTGCTTCCATTTCTATAACTGTTTAGAGCTGTCTGACCTTGGTTTGACTACTTACCCCATTCTGTTTCAGAATTATTTCATTATGTTCTGTTTTGTGAAGGAGTACTAGAATGTTCTCAGGATTGGTCAGAAGGTAACTGACAGAGGTGAATTTAATGTTTAAAGTTTCTGGCTACCAGCCTAAGCTTAGTTCATTTAACCACATTGCCTCTTTAATTGTGGATTTGATTTTTTGTTTTAAAAAAGCAATCATGTATTCTTGCTTCAGAATAAACTTGCTGACACAGCCATCTAACAGTGTTAGTGATTTAAACAGGGAGAGAGACCTGATCCTTTTAGTGGTTTTGTTTGTTTTCTGCAATCTTGGACTACGCAAGTGAGCCAAGAATAGTTTCCTTGCTAGAGAATGGGCTTCTAGAGTAAGCAAGGAAGTTTGAAAACTAAATACTGAAAATGAAGGTTGTATGTTGCCCAATTTCTCTATTAACTCAAATTGAAAAAACCCATGGGGAGAAAATTAAAAGGAATAAACAGGATTGAAAGGAAACTCCAAACTTCCCATGAACTAGAATTTGTTGAATTGGTTTTTGTCCTGGTTTTTCATTTCCCCATGGTTCTTAGGGAAATTTCACTTTAACTGGTCAAAGGATCAATACTTTCTAATTTGGAAAAGCAGGTTTTTGTCTGCCAGCTTTTAAATATCTTTACCTTATCCACCCCATGGACAACTTTTAACATTTTTCATGAGCACTACCTGAAAATGTTGTAGTCCCTAGGTTTCTATGGTACCACGGTTTTCTGATTTTCTTTTTACATTCTTGCCTTTTCTTGAAACTTTCTTTTATGGGCCCTTCATTATCTGCCTGGCCATTAGATACTGATATACTTCAGCATTTCGAGCTACTGTAATCTTAGTGAATCCTTTTTGGGTGACCTCATCTGCTACCATGGTGTGATTTGTCATCTCTGTCCTAAAAGTTTACAAATCTGTTTCTGCTGAATTCTGAACATACTCATTGAATTATTTATTGAGTATTTCCATTCTGAAATCAAAGAGCCATTTGAAACTAAGTTAAATTTTTTCATATATATGTATATGAAAAATTCATATTAGTTTATTGAGTTCAGCTTAGTTTATATATGTATATAATTCAGCTTAGTTTATATATATGTTTGTGTGCATGAATGAAATAAATTTGTGTGCATGAATATTAGTTTATATGTATTTGTGTGCATGAATGAAAATACCAGTCACACAATTTCCAAAGCCTAAAACTTGAGCATCATATTTAATTCCTCTTCCCTTACCCCTTACATACAATTGATCATTAAGTTCTACTACTTTTTTTCAAGTGTCTCCTAAATCTGCCCATTTCTCTCTGCCCTTATTATTACCATTTTCTTACTTGTTCTATTTCAAGTGTTGCTTCTGCTTGGAAAACTTTACCTATATCTCCCTTCCTCTAGGCTTCCAATTCCAACTTTTCCTTTAAATACCAGCTTTTAAATACAGTTACCTCTGGAAAAACTACTTTGCCCTAGCTGTAACACACTGGGTCAAGTTTCATCCTCTCTGTTCCTAGAGCACCCAGAATTTCAGCTTTTCCAAAGCCCTGGACATTACATTGTAATTGCTCATTTTCTTTTTCGTATCTCCACAAGATTGAATTCTTTAGGTGCAAAAACAATATTTGTTTTCTTCTTTTATTCAGCCAATTTTTATCGGGTACCTAGTATCTGATAGGCACTGTTCTAAGGCTTTGGGGGTACAGTAGTAAAAGACAGGGTCTCTCACTGTCCTTGTGACGTTTATGGCTGGCCTTATCTAGCAGTTTGTAATAGTAAATAAACAAATTAACCAGGCTGTTTTAGACATTGATAAGTGTCAAGAGTGAAACATGGTGCTGTCCTAGGGTGTGACAAGGAAGGAGGACATGCTAATTTAGTTTAGGCTGTTAGGAAAGCCTCATTGAGCAGAGATAAGGCTTAAGCTAAGACCTTAAGGATTATAAAGATCTAGCCATTTGAAAATCTGGGGACAGTATTTGTAAAGCAACCTCAGGGAGGTGAAAGAAAAAATAAGTATTGTAGGAAAAAGAAGATAGCTCTAATGTCGAGAATGGAGTGAGTGATGGAAAGAGAGGTAGTTCATGAGGTCAGAGAGTAGACATGGACTACATATCATAGGATCTTAAAGACTTTGCTGAGAGGTTTGGATTTTGTTCAAGAAGTTGAGGGAGTGAGAAAGTTGGAGGAGTGACCATGGCCATAGTGTAGAATGGGTACAGAG